GCTGCTGCACCCAACCCCAGAGGCACCTATATTTCAGTCCTTGGCAAGCAATCCCTGGGCAATGTTGCTGCATAGCTGTTACCAGATGCCCCAACCCATGCACTGGGGCTGTGATACACCACAGGGATTAGGAAAGATGAGGACTCAGAAGCAGGCCTAAAACCTCAGTATCTAGATGCTATGGGAACTGATGATCTTTAACCCACCTTCCCTCCCTTCTGTTTGCTAGAGGCTGGGCAGGGGCAACAGGGGATGGATGATTCCCCATTCTGTTCATGCCCTCTGGGGCACCTGGCATTGGCCACTGTGGGAAGACAGGACCCTGGGCTAGATGGACCTTTGGTCTGACCCAGTCTGGCCGTTCTTATTATACTCCCCCGCGCCGCCCGTGCCAGGTGTGGGAGACCTACCTGGGGAAGTGCAGTGAGCGTTCAGTGTCTGCGACTCACGTGCACTCGACCCAGGGTTGTGGGACTCCCAGCTAGGGGGAAGCCCAGGCTGCTGCACCCCTGAGGAGTCACACGTGCCCCCTGCGTCCCCCCAGGAGAGGAGACTGCAGAGGTGTGGGGCCGCCCCTTGTCTCTCAGCCCCTCCCCACTCTCTGTTCTCTCCCCCTTCTCAGTCCTGAACTTCTTCCTCGACAACCGCTGGGGCTTCAACCGGGAGCGCCTGGCCATCAGCAAGGACCAGCGGGCCGTGCGCAGTGTGCCCGGCCTGCCCATGCTTTTCGCTGCCGAGCGCCTCATGACCAGCTGCCACCTCTCCATCGACCTGCTCATCGGCGACGTGGCCGTCACGCAGGGCCGGAGTTACTGGGCCTGCTGCGTGGACCCCAGCTCCTACCTGGTCAAGGTGGGCGTGGGGCTGGAGAGCAAGCTGCAGGAGTGGTTCCAGGTGCCGCAGGACGTGGTGAGCCCCAGGTGAGTGCAGGAGCTGGGCCACCCATGCTGGGCGGAGGGGCAGGGCCTGGCGACACCCCCTGGTCCGTGGGCCTCGGGCTGGAGCTCCCATGTTACTGCCGGGCCCTTGGGCAGGTTCTCTGGAGCTCCCAGCATCCCTTGGGTCCCTCCCTCCGCCGCAGGGGTCCCGGGTTCCTCGTTGCAGCCCACACCCGGCTCAGCTCTTGGCCTGCTTTCCTGCTCCCCAAGGGAGGGGCCTGGACGCTAACCGGGCAGAGATTGGGGGGGGTTCAGCCCACTCTGTCTGAGGCTGTCATGCCCCAGGGGATGGGATCTTCTGGGGTGGATCCGTCCGTGGGTCCGTCTGCACCATGCGCTCACGCTCCCCCTCCCGCCGGGCAGGTACGACCCAGACAGCGGGCACGACAGTGGGGCGGAGGACGCCACCGTGGACGTGCCCCCCCCATACGCCTTCCTGACCATCGGCATGGGCAAGATCCTGCTGTCCCACGGCTCGGCCCTCACCTCCCGCGACCCCAGCGGCTGCACCATCCCCCTGCCCCCCCGCATCGGCATCTGCCTGGACTATGAGCGGGGCAAGGTGAGCTTCTACGACGCCGTCTCCTTCCGCGGCCTGTGGGAGTGCGGCGTGGACTGCTCGGGCCCCGTCTGCCCGGCCTTCTGCTTCATCGGGGGCGGGGCCCTGCAGCTGCAGGAGCTGGTGGCCAGCAAGCAGGAGCGCAAAGTGACCATCGGGGGCCTCTCCAAGCTGGACTGAGCCGGCCCCTGGCACACACCGCCCGCCAGTGGGATAGCGTGCTGCGGACACGCAGCCGGGGGAACCGCCTGAGCCCTGCCCTCCGACCGGCGAGGGACTTTGGCTCTCGAGAGCGCTGAGCTCCGGCCTGCGGGGTTAACGAGGGGGGCCACAGAGCTGACGGGAAGGAGAGCGAGGCTCTGACATGGGGCTGGTTTAGGGCCTCAGGCCCCAGGCCCGGAGCGCAGGCTGCAGAAGGGAGGCGTAGGGCAGACCCCTGCCAGCGTGGGACCCAGGAGAGCCCGGCTCTGCTCCCCCGCGTCTCCGTGCTGGGCTTGTGAATCCTTCCTGTTCTGTTGGATTGTGGGGGGAGGGTTTGGGCCACACTGCTCCCCTTCGCTCCCCCCAAAAAAAGCTCTCCCCTTCCCCCCCAGCTCCTCCCCACGGCCTGCCAATGTTTAACCTGGGAGTCTGAGCTGTGGGTGCTGAGGGCACCAGGCAGAGACTGGCAGTGCCCCAGAACCAGCCCCCATCCTGCCAGGGTCTGGGCGGGTGTCACGTTCCTGAGATCCTCCCTCCACATGGACCAGGGAGCAGCAGCCAGCCGCTGTGCCTGGGCCTGAGGGGGGAGCTGGGTGGGGTCGAGCTGGGGAGCTGGCTGGGGGAGGTTGGGCTGGGTGGGGCAGAGGGTCTTTTAAAGGCTAATCGTTGACCCAGCCAGTCCAGCTGCTGCCCAGAGCCAGGGCTCATCCTGCCGCTCCCTCAGCGCGGCTCTGCAGGGGCAGTGGGGACGGGAGATGGCAGAGGGGTGCGGAGAGCCCCTCTCGCTGGGGGGCACCAGGCTGCAGAATGAAGCTCCCTTCCCAGGCTGGGGCCTGCTGGAAACATCCCGTCGGGTGTGCAGGAGGATGGGAGAGCACGGAGGGGTCTCGCCCCGACCCCCAGGCTGCCATGCAGGGAGCTCCCCATGTGGGCCAAGCCCTGCCCTGCTGCACCTGTCCCGCGATGTCCCTACGGCACCGGCATGGAGTGCGCCCGCCGCCTCCCTGCCCGCTGTGCCAGCACCCTGCACACACCTCCTTCCTGGGGGGTGGCTAGTGCAGCTTCACCTCCACAAACAGCAGAGCGCCAAGGAGCAAATCCACCGACTTGGATCCTTCCCCAGCCTGTGCCATGGGCAGGGGGCAGGGGGCAGGCGTTGGGCTGGCTGGGCATGGCAGGGCCGAGGCCTCTCAGGGCCTGTGCTCCGGCACTGGGAGCTCCCAGAGTCTCTGTGGGGTCTCATGGGGTCTGCACTGGGCAATCGCTGTATTTTCATGGTTTCCTACAATAAACTGCAATGCCAGAGACTCCACGAGCACC